ATCTGACCCCTCGCGATAAGGATATATTATGATTGTATGATTTTCCGCTCTTTAGGGCTTTATACTTTTCCCCCTCGAGAGATTTTATATACAGTGGTCCGTACCTTACTGCTGGGCAGGCTGCTACTAAGTGACCAATTATTTTAGCGAAAAGCTTTATGGAACAGATACGTATTAACAACACGTCATTGATTAAAGATATGATTAGCTGGCTTTTTTCTGAGGGTAGCGAAAGACGCATGTTTTTCGAATCTATGAAAAAGCCCAAAAAACAACAAGTATTATTGGGATTTAACTGGCTTTTATCGTAGTTTACGTTAAAACCAAGATTTGTCAACACTTGTAGGGTTAAGGTGATGTCTTTTTTGCTTTTCTCCATAGTAGGGCTGATTAGGAAAAAATCATCTAAATAACAAACGCAGATTATGTCACGTGTTCTAAGGAAATGAAGTACGGGCTTCATTATCTTTGTAAAGATGAACGGGGCCGAACAGAGACCAAAAGGTAAGGAATTAAATTGAAATAGTTCGTTTTGAAAGCAAAACCGCAAAAATTTCCTATATTTTTCATTTATCTGTATTGAAAAATATGCATCCCTTAAGTCTACTAGGGTAAAAAAACAACCAGGGTATGTTAATTTAATGGCAGTGCGATAATCCTCAAGTTTAAAGTGGGGGGCTTCTAAGTGACAGTTTAAAGATTTTAAATTAAGTATGAAACGGTACTCACCGTTTGTTTTCTGTCTTAGAAAATATGAAGAAACATATTGTGTTTTTGAACTTGTACAACGGGAAATGGCGCCCATTTCCAACATGCTGTCAATTAATTTTTTACAATTTTCATGTTCTAACCGTGTTAACTTAGGTTCTTTAATGGAATGTCTTGTAGGGGGGGATGATATGAAGTTAAATTTAATTCCCCTTAACCAACTTAAAACTTGAGGGTTACTTGTCAGCATTTCCCAATAATGTAATCTAGATCTAGTCTTGCCGACACACATGTGCGGATCATTTTTTATGCTCACCATTAATATTGGGTCCTTTTCTTTTTCAGCCGGGCTTGGTTGTATGAGACCCCTTGGGTGTTCCGACCCTTCGCTTTGTAGTTCCATTGGTTCTTGTATTTGGACTTGTATTTGGGGCGCTGGTAGTTTTTTGAACTGGTGGAGGGGTTCTGTAATCTAAGATCTGAGGACGTCTTCTGTATTTCCTTGGATGACTTCAGTTTCTCCGCAAACTTGTCCCCAAATAAAAACTCGTCTATTGGGTAGTCTTCGATGATCTTCCTCACCGAGCTGTTCAGATGAGGTAGAATAACATGGCGCCTGTGTGTAGATATGCTATGATGGACATTAGTTAAGATTTTCGCCGCATCAATACTGGGTTTTAAGAATTCATTAGACTGTTCGCTTGGATTAGGGAAGCAATTGCCTAAAGGTTTCCCTAAAGCGGAGATGGCTACCCCAATTTCGTCTTGTATCCTACTAAGGTACATGTCTTGTCGGTTCAAGCTTTCGTTTAAACATGTTGCAATTTCCATGTTTAGTTTAGGTGCGAGTAATTCTTTACAGTTTCCTACGATAGGGTAACTGTCGATCAAAGCTTTTTTGTCATCTTTTTCAACCCCTTTTCTTAGAAATTCGCTCCAGCGCATTACAATATCTTCGTGAATGTTTTCTCCAAACTGTTGGGTAAGGTTTGGTTGTTTACCTATGATAATAAATAATTACATTTATTATTGTTTCCCAAACTGTTGGGTAACTTTTGTATATACCTAATAAGGTAATTATTGCGTCCGAGGTGTTTGGTTTGTTACTGCCTGCATTTATCGCCGGGCTATCGATGGGTTCAAGCGGGAGATTCACTGGGCTCCGCCTTCCCCTTTCGGAACCAGAGTGATTATCTTCACTGGAAGAATCATCACTGCCGGAGGATGATGCGTCATCGCCTGCAATGAAACGCATAATTATTAAGTTTGTTGACCACTGGGCCTTCAAACAAAATATTACTGTCAACCATACTTCGCAAGACCACTGGGTCAAGGAGTTAGGTTAGGTTAGATATTAAAATTCACACGTAGTTGTGCAATTCTTTATTTAAAGTATGGTTAACCAGAGAGTATAGAGGCGATAATTTACTGAAAACACGCCCCCCCCCCGTTTCCATGTGCACTGTTTTACCTAGGTTATGAAAAAACTGATAATACTTACTTGATACATCCTCTAAACGCTCCCAAAGTTGGTTTAGGCGATTCTGCTTCCGTTTCAGCCTCTTTTTAATTTCATTTTTGGACCTGTTTCTACCCATTTCGCGTAAACACGTAAAAACACTTTACAAAACACTCGACGCACGAACCTCGTTGACGACAAAACTTATAATGACATTGGTGGGGCGAGTCGCAGCGAGGACGGTGCGGAGCGGCGTTGCCACGTTTATTTTTGTATGTCGCACGGATTTCAGCAAGACAAGACTTACTCTATTTGTATTCCTTTTATGTAGTACGAGGACAAAACTGAGAAGTGTAATTAAATTTCTATATCAGCAGTTAAGTGGCAAGAATCCTTATATAATTTTATTATATACCTATACTGCAAAAAATTTGTTTTCTATTTTATAATTTGGCTTGCCTGAAAAAAAGCCTTTTACCATCCTTTTACTATCGATAGTTGCGCCTCGGTGATAGGAAAGTACTACCATTGCACTGAGGCCGCTATCTCCCGTTCGGGACTTAATATCTAACCAATACTTTCCGACAAGTCGGAATTAACTACTTTGCGCTGTGGTTGTCATTTTGTGGATCTGCCCAAGCTCACCTGATGATGGAGTAGGGCTCCGAAACCGGTAGTGAGACCAGGTTGATCCACATTATGACAAACACAGTGTAGAATTAAATTTCTATATCAGCAGTTAAGTGGCAAGAATCCTTATATAATTTTATTTTCAATAAATTCTCCACTGATTTGAACATTTTTCATATGACACTTGTGCAGTTAGGTTAGGTTAAGAGATCGTAAGACGGCTTTAATTTTGAATTTTTTGTTACTTTCCTAACATATTCTACTTAATTATTTTTGTAAAAATTTGTTTGAATTTTTTAACTTCATTTTCTATTACTTCATTTTCTATTCTTAGATTATTCTTTGGATTCTCTTTGATTATTCCTTAACTTTATTTTGTATTTTCTATTATATAAGTGTAACTGTAGTATATGTAATTCTTAACTGCTTATCAATTGTTACTGTGTTTATTATATGTATACAGGGTGTCATTGAAATGGTGTAAAAAAATCGGGGGGTGATAGTATTCTAGTAAAAAAGTTCCTATAAGTATAGGGCGGAAAATGCTTATTAAGGGAGTTAGGGGCACTGAAAGGGTGAATTTATAAAACGGTTATTTTGAAATTGCAGGCTTAAAAAACGAGATAAAATTTCGAAAAAAAATGCTCTGCCATAAATTTTGACCCTAAATCAAATGGTGATACTGAAAAATTATTTGGAAAAGCGGAAAGGGTAGTTTTTGCAAGGGTAGGGGGTTCTTTTGTGAATAACTTTTTTGAGGTTATTTTTTTTGCAACGTTTTTTGAAAACTACATACTTTTTCCGACAAAAAAGGTACTCTTGTTGCACATCGCCCAGAGTGATGGTGTTCGAGAAAATTGAAGGCAAAAAGTTTGCTCTGATGGGTTGCTAACTCAACATAAACTTATGAAAGTTATGGCGGTTCAAAAGTAACCAAGTAGTTATTAAATAATTAATTGGAAAATCAAAATTTCATGATTTTTAAAACATCTTATTACTTTAAAAACGAAATAAACCAATTACCAAAATTCCTTATTAAAATAATGCATTCCTTAATTCATTCATAGTAAATGTTTAAGTGACCACCATTCATTTCAATGCAGACATCTGCTCTTCTTCTCCAAGATCTGCGTACCCTGTGGAATATCCTTGGTGTTTGTCCGAATTTGATTGGAACAGTCAATAATGCGTTGCCGTAGTTGCTCTTCAGTATTAATCGGCACTGAGTAAACCAAACCTTTCAAAGTGGCCCCAGAAGTAGAAATCTAGTGGATTATTTCGTTTTTTAAAGCAATAAGATATTTTAAAAATCATAAAATTTTGATTGTTCAATTAATTATTTGATAACTACTTGGTTACTTTTGAACCGCCATAACTTTCACAAGTTTATGTTGATACCAACCCATCAGTGCAAATTCTTTGCCTTCAATTTTCTCGAAAACCATCGTTCTGGGCGATGTGCAACAAGAGTACCTTTTTGTAGGAAAACGTAGTTTTCAAAAAATGAACCTACGTTGTAGAAAAAAATAACCTCTAAGAAGTTATTCACGAAACAACCCCCTACCCTTGCAAAAACTACCCTTACCGCTTTCCAAATAATTTTTCAGTATCACCATTTGATTTAGGGTCAAAATTTATGGCAAAGCATTTTTTTTCGAAATTTTATCTCGTTTTTTAAGCCTACAATTTCAAAACAACCGTTTTTTTAAATTAACCCTTTCAGTGCCCCTAACTCCCTTAATATGCATTTTCCGCCCTATACTTATAGGATTTTTTTTACTATTTTTAGGAGTACTATCAACCCCTTTTTTACACTATTTCAATGACACCCTGTATAAATGGGTAGTTATACCTGTTAGACTGTATGCTAAATAAATAATAAATAAATATGGCATCAAAGATGTCACGCCTATCAAATCTCACGCATAATCTAATAAAATCAGTGATAGTGCCACTGAAAGTTGCACATACGTCAGTCTTTAATTTAGCTCAGTTATCTAGGTGTTTATTGCTGTCACTTGATCAGACTTTATATTGTGTTAACGTTTTAGAGAGTTTTATTTACTTTGCTTGTTTATAAGGTATCAAAAACAATGATTTTCTCAAAATTTTAATTATGGCACTTAGGTTTTTATTTCAAGTCTTTATACATTGACTTCAGTAATATGCAGCTTGTAAATTAAAATATTTAATTAATATTTACCTGGGAACTTATCCTGGAACAAAATTTATCCTCAGCATTGTATTGTCACCTACCTAAAAATAAAAGAAAAAAATATATTAAGTTTTGTTATTTTTAGAAAACGAATCAATCAGTCACCTTAGTTAAGGAAATATTCTTAACCAGTTTTAAACTTAATGTTAGGTTCCGTGATAGAACATTTACAACTCATTAATGTCGTTAAATTTTCAATACTCATACATTATTAAATCAAGTCGCGATAGGCAGCTATATCGATTAGTTTCCAACAAACTTGAAAACTGGTGAATAAAAAATGACTCCCAATTAACCTGATCATTCAACCATTAAAATATTTGCATTTAGTAAGGCGAAAACAGGACCTTTTATGATGATCGAATCAATTGGAATTATTCCTTGTTGTATATTGCATAAAATCAGTCTATAATACGATTAGTTTAATTTTAATTCTATACTAAATTAAAAATAATAGATGGATTATTTTTTTAGTGTACTAAAAGGGGGAACAAAATGTCATTAAACTCATTATTAATTCCGCTCGGTGCGTTCCTCATTAGAACTTTCAACCCTCATACTTCTCGGCAATTAATTTAAAATACGTGTCAACTAACTTTAATTGCCTAATCTTCAAAGAAAAAGGTCTAAATATAGGTTTATATTTGGAACTTAATGAAATAACAATGAATATTAAGTTTTGTTAAGCCCACTTATATGTTAAACATGTTTTCTTTCTGGAGTGGAAATAAAAAAGTTAAACAAGAACTGTCAAAAATTTCTTAGAAAAAAGGTAAAAATGTACATTTTTACGAAAATCTACTACTAATAATCTACAACAGAAAAAAATGTAATAACCTAATATACCGAGTGTGTCTCAAAAGTGGCTCACCCATATAACTTGTTTATTTTTTCAGATAAAAAAAACGAGAAACGAAATGAGGTACGTTACTATATGACATAAATCAGGATTGATTCGCGTATTCAATTGTTTTAGGTCACTTCCTCTTTCACCGGAAATTACTACAACTTTTGATTTTTAAATGACTGAGGGTGTGTTTTTTACTTTATTTCATACAAAATGACACTCTGAATAGAAGACATATCATATGTCAACTTTTGACATTTTCGCATATGGTTTATTTGAAATTGTTAACATGCGGTTCATAACCACAATTTGACTCGGAATACCAAGTGTGTGGTACCAAATTATTCGTAAAAAATGCTTTTCCAAATATGCTAAAGAGACACTCTTGCTCCATTTGAAAAAAATGAGATATGATTAAAAATTCTATTTGGGCATCTTTTAACCGGCCAGGACAGAACACGAAAAACATTAGAGCATCAAATCTATTTTTCCAAAGCTCCTTGATTAAAAATTAGTGTTTTAACATAGTCATGGACAACTCTAGATTGAAATTTAAAATACGATTTGTTTTTAAGCAAAAAAGTTGACAAATGATATGTCATTCTATTCAGAGTGTCATTTTCTGTCGAATAAAGTAAAAAGATACCAAGGATGCTATTTAAAAACTAAAAGTTCTAGTCATTTCCGATGAAACAGGAAGTGACCAAAAACAATTGAATACGTCAATGAATCCTAATTTATGTCATATACTAACATACCAAATCTTGTTTTTTTATCTAAAAAATTAAAAAAGTTATAGGGGTGAACAACTTTAGAGACGCAGCCTGTATATTATATAAAATATCAATAATAATAGTTTCCCTATAATACCGCCTAGACGCTTTGGGAGGTAGAATGTAGAATGTTTAGGAGGGGATTAATCACCGGGGCCTTACAGATCTATTAGGCCGTATTTATAAAAATGAAGTATTTCCTTCAAAGGTAAAGGTAGAAATAAAAGGGAGAGCTCGCAAGGAGAAGGTAGAACGAAAAGGTTTTGCTTAATTTCATATTTATAATCTTTTCCTTTTCTTTGCAAGCACATCCTCGCAGAAAAAAAAGGTAGACGAGCGCAATTTACGAGTATGTTGCCACCAAATATGTTGCAACTTGCAGTTACATAGGTAAATGATCAAATTAATTGTTGTTAGGTATAGAGTGTTTGCTGGTACTTCTAAGTTGTACTTGGAGCTTTGAGTGGTATTTATATATTTGATTGAGCTGTGTTAAGATGGCAAGTGACGAGGAACTGTCAGGCTAGCAAGTAAAGTTACAAGACACCGCCGCCGGCGCCGTTTCAACTGTCCAAAAGCATGTTCTATGACAACTCTTTCTTTCATTAATAATGGCTCGAAAGCAGCCTGCACAATGTCTTCCACGATGGGGAAGGGTTTAATCAGATAGGACATTATACCATATAGCCATTTTCTTCCAACAACACCGTATTAGTCGTCCGCCACATAATTTCATGAACAGAAGAAATTTTTCAAATTCGACTGTCATGCACGGAGCCGGGCCACCGTGCATCGATATTCATGAAAACGTAATTTTGATCACATAATGCCTTGAACATTAATACTAGCATAATTCTTCCAGTTTACATATTCATCCCCAAATAGACGCGGCTTTTCAATTCTAATATGCGTGCGATCGATAACCCCTATTGCAGTCGGATTTTTTTTCGTTGACATTTCACTTTGGCTTCCATAACTTCATTTTCGGTCGACGGGAACTTGATCCAGTCAGCGGCCTTGTCCACAATGAGACGGAGAGTGGTATCGACAATCCTGGAGACTGTAGGCTGTGTACATCCCAGTTCCTCACCTATACCGCTCTGGAAACCCGGATCTGCCATGTACCGTAAAAACACTTTCATTTTCTGTACTGGCGAAAGCGTTCCTCCCCTGGTTTCCAGATTCTCGCCAATGAAGTAGTCGGCTAACCACTGCGCGTTTATTTCGTCGAACCGAAAGAGGGTTCGAAAATCGCACTCACGAGGAGTACGTCTCTCTTTGTACACTTTTCGTGCATGTACGTGCACTACATCCGCCATGGGAAATTCGAATTCAACAAATCACGCGCTCACTCGCCAACTAAAAACACCTCAGCCCTTCAAGTGCATATACATTAGGCCGGGGCGAAAAAGGCAGATTTTTTTTTTTTCAAAAAGTGATATGTCATAGAGATAAAAAGTTGTGTGGTAGGTCAAAAATCTTTGTGATTTTTTTGGGGATTTTTAAAATGATTTTTAGCCGCGCCCCTGGGGGAGGAAAGGGGTATTTTTTTTATTTCAATATTTTTTGACGTCATATCGAAAAAACGATTTTATTAATGACAAAAATAAACCTGATTTTTTTTATTCAGTTTACTTAATTTTTAACCGCGCCTCGCTAAGGTAAAAGAAGCACGTATCAGAGATCAAGAATTCAAATCGTCCTATCCTTTGGATAAAATACCTGACAAAATTATTCAGCCTAAAAAACACAAACAACTCAGAATGTCTTTACCAAATATTGCCAAAATTGCAGATATGACAGGCGCCTCAAATCGAACAGTGTCGAAAATAGCAACTGATTTTTAGAGAGAGAGAGAGAGATGATTTTAAATTAGTGTCTTCAGATAATCCCATCAATGTTATAGATAAAAGCAAAATGGTCAAAAATAGAAAAGCTGTCCAAGAACTAGCAGCTAATTCTGACAAAAGCATACAAGGTATTTATTTTAATGGAAGAAAAGACCAGACCATGATGCTTGTTAAAGGACGTCGTATTACTAAAAAAAGGAACATATATCGATAAATGAAGAGCAAGGAAGCACCTATCTTGACCATACAAGCATGAATCCGCTTCTGGCACTGCTTTGAATATATCAAAAAGTATCATATCACTCATTGAAGCTAAATATATTTACCTGAAATACCTAACAGTTGTTGGATGTGACGGTACGAACGTGAATACTTGTTGGAAGAGTGGTATTATACGGCTGCTCGAAATTCATATTAAAAGACCCCTGCAATGGGGTTGATTTGCTTGCTTCACACCAACGAACTACCGCTGCGCCATGTCCTTGCAGACCTAGACGGACTCACTAAAGGACCTTATTCTTACTCTGGGCCTATCTATGGATCTAAGCTGGCAGCATGCGAATGGAGACCAGTTGTAAATTTTCAGAAAATAGACACATTTTTATGTCATGTCGATGAAAAAGATTTTAGCACAGACCAGCAATATCTATACCGTAGTATACAAATCAAGACAGTTTCCTGATAAAATGAAAACTGTCATCAATCGGGTAATTTCTACAAATGGCTATTTTGCCCACCCCGAGAACATTCTTCTAGCGATGATATCCGATGAAAGACCACATATCAGAGAACTCGGAATCAGACGAATTTTGAAAGCAAGAGAAACACCGCCCAGACTGGGGGTACTTAGAGTTCCCAAAATAAATTTCGAGGCCCAGGAATATATAGAGTTGAACGGTTGGAGCCAATGTAATGTCACAGAGCCGCCTCTGACAAAGCACATAAGTGATCGACGATTTGAGAGAGGCAATTCAGAGCAAGGCCTTCATAATTCCCAAAACAATCAAATTTCCATGTCACACTCAGGCGGTCGAGCGCTGTGTGAAATTAGTGACTGAGGCATCTAGTAAGGTATGTGGTGAAGAATCAAGAGATAGCTACATTCGTGTAAAACTAGAAGCAAGATGATTACCAGAATTTGAAACCAAACAGCAGTATTTTTCGAGTAAGAGACTGAAAACAGATTAATAGATCGAAATTTGTATAAAGGGAGGAGGGAGGGGGCGTGGGGGGTGGAACTCGACATACAGTTACCTCCCCGTGGTGAGTTCTGGGTTGAAAAAACGATGAATAAAAGTTTTATAAATAAATTAATTTATTATAGTAAATCATCTCTTTTCCAAGCGAAAAACTGTACATATATTAATTTTTGAGTAAACAGGGGCGCAAGTAAATAATAAGTTGAAGTTAGAGGGGGAGAGGCGCGGTCAAACTCATTTTTTTTGTCAAAACCAAAAAAGCAATTTAAGTTTTAATCAAATCCACAAACTTAAAATTTTTTTTTCGCCCCGGCCTAATATACATGCATGAAGGAAATGATTAAAATCTGCACCGGACTAGATGCATATTTT